TTTTTTTATGACTCACCTTTGCGTACTTCACTCGAATAAAGTATGTAACCAGTAAGACTCTTTTTAGTGTTTTTATTCTTTGCCTTGGAGGATATCGGTGTAGATGATACCGAAGGTGCTGGCGATGATATTGCGGCTATGTCCGAATTAACTGATGGCGGATTGCCATCCAGTGAATCTTCAAGCATACCCAAATTTTCATTGACATCTGAGCCTTTAAGTTCCTTGCAAGGCTTGATAGGAGTTTTGAAATGAAATATCTCGTCTTGAGTTACTTCAACACTGTGTTGAAATTTACGTAGACCTCCAGGCGTGTTGAGTTTACGTAAGGATTTTTTCAACTCATCGTAAACGGACTCACAAATATAAACATCACTCTCTGAAATCTCTGTCGGACGACAGTTTATGTATTCTGCATACTCAAGCACTGCACAACGTCCAACAATAGCTATTAAGGGGCTAATATCCTCAACTGTCGACAATAAGATTTCCTGGCGATAGAACTGCTTATTTAATGGCGAAACTATCTCATTTGGCGCCAAAAGCCAAGGTCCTTTGAAATAAGACTTATTTGAGTGTTCCCATATTTGATGGATTTGCGCGATTGATTGTTTTCCACTTTGTGTAGCTACATATACAAAGTCGCCGATCTTAACAGCACCACTGCAAATCGTATTAAATTGCTGATAGTAAACACTATTCGGTTCAGGATTGATTGGCGGTGCATCACATACGACATTGGGTTTTTCTTTCTCCACCAGTGTCTCCTGAAGTTTTAGTTCCTCCAACTCGCCTTTGTGCTTTTCTATGCGTTCTTTAAAAACGGACATTACACGACGCAATTCTAATGGCTCATCGCGCGTAATAAAACGAACTGGATCGTTTTCGCGAACGAAAGGCCAAACTTTAAATTTTTTGAAGCAGCGCCCTCGGATATTGTATCTCGATTCACACACGAATACATCTTTATCAGCGAAGCCTTCTGGTCGCATTTTTATGTAGTCTTTTATGTGCATGATATAGCATTTGCCGAGCACTTTGTCCATAGGAATCGTCTGGGAAGCACTGCTCTTGAATACCTCCATTTCAAGAAATTTTCGAGTTGTCACATGGTAAGTTTCATGTGGACGTAGAAAAACTGCACCATACATCCACTTCACGTTATCTGTTGTGGTCCAAAGGCGCTCAATATAAGCAATACCAGGTATTTTATTTTCCGGTAATTGAAAATATACAAAGTCTCCAGGAGAAAACACATTTTGGTTGATAGTCATACTTTC